ATGGTCTTGGAAAGTTTATGTAAAAATAAATTGAGCTTATTTTAACTACTTAAAAATCGATTTAAATGGGTTTGGGGTTATGACTCAGTGGTAGAGTGCTTGCTTCGCATGTGCAAGGACCTGGGTTGGATCCTTGGCACTACATAAAAATAAATAAATAAATAGTTATAAAAAATTTATACAAAAAATAAATTTAAAGAAATTATTTGTACCCATATTTCTCCTCGGTAAGCTGAGAGTAATGTCATGGTTCAACCTGAAAAATAGTAGTGATTTAAGTGAGTGAATGAGAATGTGGCTAGTGAATTTCACCTAAGCATTTGCTGTTAGGGGCTGGTTAGAATTCTAAAATGTGATGATCCTTGTGCTCTGTGCTGCAGGGGATATAAGGTAAGGAAAAGTTTATGCTTCTAAGGGCCTTCATTCATTCATTCATTCTTTCCTCACATTTTTTGGTGCATTATAGTTAATTCATTTTTTCATTCATTAATTTGAGAAATATGTATACTAGAAATATCTACACAGATCCAAAGCAGACATAGTTCCTGACCTTCATGCAGCTTTGTCTATCAAAGAGATAATCATTTAATCAGTCCCTAAACTAATAAAATATCATTAGAGTTGTTATAATGACTACTAGAGGAAAATACATGGAACTATAGAATATTTAACAGAGATGAGAGTTGGGTGCAGGGAAGGTGGTGAAGGATAGAGGGGTGATGTAACACAGATGTGGGGACTAAAAGTATGTGCTATGTATCATGAGAGACATATGAACATAATGCTATCCTGACCAAGAATGAAGAATGATATTGAATGGAGAGATACAAACTTCCAAATAATGGCTCTTCAGTGGGAGATTTCGGCCATGTTAATACACAATAAAACTCTATCTAGACACGTGAGTGGGGAGTTGTGTCTATCATGACTCAAGTCACACCACCAAGAAAATCATATATGCCACCCAATGGTAAGGTCTCTTTCGGTCATGAGGGGATGAACTGAAATCTCAGAATAACATGAGTTTTCTTTCTTTGTGAAGATCTTCTGTGTTTGTCCAAAGACTTTGAATCTCAGCTGAACCTATCTAGTGCACCTCCTCTCAGCAGACCTGTGTACTCCAAGAAAGGCCTGGAACATAAAGAGGATCTCCAGAGAATCTTATTTTCAGGTAGTAACTATGGTTTGACTACTTGACACCAGTCAGTTTTTATGTTATGATAAAGGGAGACAGGTTGTCATGTTTGTGTTTTGAAAACTGCAAATTCTTACGTCCAAAGTGATTGTTTCAAGCTTATAGGTGATAGGTGATTTACTCCCCCACCCCAGTGCTGGGGATCAAACCCAGGGCCTTGCACATACTAGGCAAGCAACCTATACCTAGGTTACATCCTCAGCCCTGGTGAGAGGTGGTTTGGAAGTGAACCCTCACTGACCTCATAGACTAAGGCAGCACAG